GGCCGGGCCGGGGGTTGTGAAGCGAGGTGGCTCTCCCCAGCCGCTATTGGAGCCACCTCCAGCCCCTCATGGGTGACAGGCTCTGACCCAGGGCCAGCTGTTGCTCACCAAGGGCCCTGCTGACGCCTCCCACATGCCCCCCACCACCCAGGGGCTGCCTCCACTCGTTCATTCGCCTGTTCACTGCCACCTCCCTCCTGCCCTCACTGTGGGGCTGGGCTCGGCAGAACAGCAGGCCGGGTCTCAGCTTCCCCATCTGTAAGATGGCACGACAGCAGCACACGCCCACAGTCGTCATGGGATAGGGTGTGGAAGGCTCAGAGCTGGCCGTCTGCGAGCCGCTCCTGGGCAGGTTCTCCCTCCACCCTGGGCAGGACAGGGCGAGCCGACTCCTCACTTCCCAGCGAGGCAGGAGCACATCCCAGGTCCCCTCCAGAGGCCAGGGCAGTTCCTTGCACTCAGGGGTGGCCCCTCTCCCTGAGCTCGGTCTCTCCGTCTCCCTCTGTGTCTCTGCAGGGGGCCGTGTCCTGCAGCTGCCCCTGGTGCGAGCGGAGGACTCTGGGAGGTACTCCTGCAGGGCCTCCAACGAGGTGGGCGAGGACTGGCTGCACTACGAGCTGCTGGTGCTGAGTGAGTGCCGGCCCGGCCTGGGGTGGGCAGTCCCAGGCCCACAGGGCAGGGCCCGGAGAGCGCCAGCTTCCTCTCTGTCCAGATTCCTTTCTTGCACCCAGGCCCTGGGGGGGCTGTCCTTGCATGCACCCTACTCCCTTCCCCGGGCAGCTTTGCCAGCTTCTCATCCTCCTCTCCTCACTGCCAGCCCCACCTGTGATCCTGGGTGACACAGAAGAGCTGGTGGAGGAGGTGACCGTCAACGCCAGCAGTTCCGTCAGTCTGCAGTGCCCAGCCCTGGGCAACCCCCCACCCACAATCTCATGGCTTCAGAATGGGCTGCCTTTGACCCCGAGCCCACGGCTGCAGGTTCTGGAAGACGGGCATGTCCTGCAGGTCAGGGGGCTTCCCGTGGGGGCTAACAGACGGCCCTGCCACCAGCTATGTCAGGGAACGGGGGGCGGTCATTCTCTGCACCAAGCAGGCCCTTTGCCAGAACCATGCTGCAGCCCCGTGGGTTAGCTCAGCCCAGCCAGTCACCGTCTGTGGGCAGACTTGAGGCCACACTCAGCTCCTAGGAGTTAGTGGCCCCTGGAAAGGATGTCACATACAGCACCCAGCCCCGCACAGGGCCCGCACAGGGCTAACACCTAGTATTGTGCCCGGCTCCCGGGACATCACAGCCAGCACCCAGCCCCGCACACAGCTAACACCTAGCATCGGACCTGGCACCAAGGACTCCAGGCAGCGCCCTTGGCCACCCAGTGCCCTGACACAGCATCACGGGTCCTCTGAGTAGCCCCATGGTGTTAAGGGGAGCTCATTGCCACATCACATTTGCCAACACGGACCTCACAGCTTCCCCTTCCACGTGTCACACAACCCGAGAGGGAGGTGGCCTCCAGGGGGCTCCACTAGCCTCCAGGAGCTGCCTGGCATGGGGTGGGGGGGAGTCTCACGGTGGGGGGGGGGCCACTCCCAGGGGACTGCGGACTGTCCT